ACAAAGGTATACTAAAATACTAAAAATATGCTATAAAATAAATGCTAAAGTTCAAGTAAACTTTATAAAGGCATAGTAATTAAAAATATAACTTTACTACAAATGTTAGTTTTGTTATAACAATATCAGATTAGTTATAAAAATAGATACAAAAAGGTCTGAAAATTTTATTTTAAAGATAAATAGTTCTAAGATTAAGATGATAACCTGGGCATAATCTAGTAATATTAATATAAATGCAGATTCAAAGAGTTTAAAATAAAACACTTAAGCAAAAGTGTTAGATATAACAATTGGTAAAAAACTTTTGAATAAACTTTTTAAATAGATAATATAGAAAAGTTATATATATAGACAATTGTATACTCTTTTTGTAATAGTTTACAAGAATTACATTATTAAAAAAGTTATTATTAAAAATTAAAAAACCAAAGAGATCACTTTAATAAAAAAAATAAATAAATAATAAAATCCTAGAATAGACTATTTAAAATAGGCAACCAAAAGTTATATATGTGACTAGCTATATTTCTATTTTTATAAAAATAGTTATAATATTAAATTTAATATATATTAATAAAATAATTGTTATAAAATAAAACTTTTAAATATCAAATTGAACATATCAACTTTTTTTGATGATCCTTTGCACTAATTTTTCTATACATACTAATCTATGAAAATTATATAGTTAGTATGTTTATATATAACAAAATTTTACTATATAGCATCTGAGTTCAAGAATTTCAGATTACATATAGGCTATATGAAAAAAAGTTGAAAAAAACAGCTTTTTGTAAGTTTGGTTTTCCAGTAGAAGTCTATAAAATTATTAAAAAAGTAACTTTGGCTATAATCAAGAAAGTTTTGTCAAGCTATATCTAAACAGTAGCAAAGATAGAAGCCTAGTTGGATATGTTATTCTGTATAATGTAAACTTCTACACTTATTATAGTTAATGCTCTAAAAAATTTCTTTCACACTTTTTTTCAAAAAATTTTTATCAAAAAGTGGACAATCTAGCTTATTCTCATCAAAATCAACATTATTGATCCTTTCAAATCAGGATTGTTTATCAGTTCTATTCAAAAAAGGCCTATGTTGCAGATAAAGCATGAGTACATATGTTTTAAAAAAACACAACAATAAAACAAGATTGAAGATTTTTGGCAAAAAATGAGATAATTAGTTGAAAATATGACAAGTATCAAAATGTAAAATCTGGTAAAAGTATGATAAGTCATATATAAAGATGGATTTAATGACAAGAAGTTGAAGTGTCTAACATATAGAAAATTCTTTGCCAGTTCAGTTTTGGTTAAATTATTTTTCTTAGAATATAAGCTTTAATATTAAATATGTTAATTAAATAAAGTTAAAGTAGAGATTACTGGGTATGGTAACTTAGTGAAGTGGTTAGGTTGTCAACCCATAAGTGGCAGGTCCAGAGTTCAAATCCCAGTATCGATGGAAAATTTAAAAATCCTCTCTGTGTTATGATTAACTGTCTCTCGCAATTAGTTGGAATAAGACACCTGTAATCTATATTGCACCAGCATGACTGGCAGATCACATGGCATTTGTGTAACAGTTATATGATATTGTTCTTTGGAACAAGGTCTGTGGTTACACAAAGGAATGCAAACCGGTACCAGGTGGTGCAAATCTACAATAAGTCCTTATGGCCATGTAAATCATAGAAACCAATAGAAGAAAGATGAAAGCCCACTTGGAAGACCTGAGTAGAGAGGTAACCTAAGCTTTCAATGGTGCTACTGTAAAGACTAGACTTATAAAATGGAGCTAGAACTTGTGAAACTAGGCAAATATGCTGGTCTTTAAGAAGGGACCAGATGAACCAACCAGGCCACTGGAATTTCTAGGTTCCAAAGAAAAAGAGTACATGTCGGCAAATATGTAAACCAGAGGTACAGTCTCACTTTACCTTTCTGGGCTATCTGGAATAGCAGCTTGGTAGAACTGAATTGAATACCAAAGTAGTAAGAGTATGTTGTGAAGTAAGTATCAGGATTGGAATGAACTTTACAAGAGCATAGCAGTTTAATGGTATGCCCTGACTGCCAGTGTTGGTCTTGGCCATAGCAATACCAGGTCAGTTGTAAGAATGGGATACAGAAGATTCTGGAAGGTTTAGTATAAGGTCAAAGGTTCCAAAGAACTGCTTTAAAGACTTAGTGGCTATGGCATATTTTTACCAGCATTGGCCAGGGTTATTGGTAGGCAGAAGTAGATAGATAGATATGAAAACCGAGTGGTTAAATAGGAAACCTACAAGTGGGTTTCAGGTATGGCAGCTAGTGTAGAACCTTTAGGCGGATTACTTAAATTAGACAATGACTAAAGTTGTACGAGTGGCTAGTTGTATACTCTCTCTATGGTTGCCCTCTGTGGTTGTAAAGCAATTATTAGCCAAATATACTATCAATAAAATCCTGGATCGCAAGTACTTACTTTAATATTTAAAAAAAATAAAAATAAAAATAAAAAAAGTAGAGATTACTATATTTAGTAACATATAATTTTTAGTAGACTGATACAACTTTTATAATTAGTAATTATTTGTTTGGCCTTCATCAGCAATTTACTTCTCTTTCATTTCTTGATATTTGTTTTTTTTTTTATATTTTTTCTCTATACATATTTTTTTAATGCATTTCTTTCAATAAGAAAAATTTTTTTTTGGTTATTTACCTTTTTACAAATAAATAATATCAAATTGGTACTGTTTAATTGTAAGGTGACAGACAGACAAGCTTAATTCAGACTTTAGCAGGTCTGATGCAACAGGTTACTCATAGGTGCCAATTGGGATAATCATATGATAATGATATATGAAGTTAGATATAGTTCTATTTGTATATTGTCTATACTAAACATTTATAAATAAATTTTTGATTAGTTAACTATCATGGCTGGCAAAGGTTAAAAAAAAAAAAAAAAACTTTTAAATATAAGAAAAAAAATTAGTTTTATTTGAATTTAATTAAATTGAATATAATAACTTAGTAAAATAAAAAAGTTGTTATATTTTTAAGTAACAAATTGTAAATTCAAAACTTATTAATAACAAAAATTTGAATTTTCATCTGTGTTATAATAATTATTTTTTGATAATTAGATTAAAATATCTATAATTATGATTATATTAGTATAACTAACAAGTTATAAGACTTTTGTATAACTTTAGTTATACAGAAAAATGTAAACTAGTACTAGATAATACAAATCTAAAATAAGTTTTTGTAATTATATAAATCTATAGAAATTGAAAAAACAGAAAATTATTTAAAAAAACCTAAATAGAAAAATAATATAAATCTTTAACAGTATTATTATAAAGACTAGATCTAGAAAATAGATACTAATATAGAAGAGCTAGATAAGCAAGTATCTCTAGATAAGGAGTACTACCAATTAGGCTACTAAAATTAGATCAAAAAAAGAATATTAAATCAGACTCAATATATTAAAACCAAATTATAGTTTTATTAAATTATTTGAATTAGAAGTTTAAAAACAAAATAGTGATATACTAAAGTACTAGAGATATATTGTAAAATAATACTAAAATTTAAATAAATTTTGTAAGAGCATAACTTTGTCAAGATCTGTAAAGTAAGTAAGTAAATTAACAAAAAGACTTTCTAAGCTTTATTGCAAATAACAAATTCTAAAATATGTAATAATCTAAATATTAGTATAAAAAAATAATAAAATTAAATCTGAATGATCTTTAATAAAAGAAAGCACAAGATAGTTTATTATAAAATAGAATAGTTAGAGTTATACAGATACTAATTAGAAAAAGACCAAAGAGTTTAAATAAAGCATCTATAAGCAGAAGTCAGATATAACAGATAGCAGGTAACCTTAAAGCAGAATTCTTAAATAAACAATAACTAAAATTGTATATATAACTAATTGTACTCTTATGAACTTAAGATAATATTAATTAATAAATAAAACTAATTTAACCAAGTAATTAACTGCTTTTTATGACAAAAAAAATAAATTTGATCAAATCAAATATATTCTAATTTAAATCTGATTTAATTTAAATATTTGATCAAATATTTGAATTTGATTTAAAAATTTTTTTTATAATTTTAAAATATTGATCAATAAAGATAAAACTTAATTTACAAACTTTTTACTATATTAATCAATCTTGAGATCTTAAATAATACTCCTAGTTTTATAAAATGAAAAAATCAATTGTCTTAATAAAATTTTGAATAAATGACTAAATGTTCAATTATAAATTTTCAAATTAAATTAAATATTTGTCAAATCAAATCAAATTTGAAATTGATTTAAAATTTCTAATTTGAATTTGATTTGAACTCATAAATCAAATCAATTTGTCAAGGCCTCACCTTAATACCAAAAAAAAAATCAAATCAATTTGCGGAACTCATATGTCAATGCAATAAAATTCGTGTCTAGCCAATCAAGGTAATCACTAAAATCATATGCTAAATTAGCTAAACGAAAATATTTTCGTTTTTTGATTAACACACGTAGATCCGCTGAATTACAATATATCCCGTTATGAAAGTCCGTCTAGATCTTCAGAAGCGAAGTACTAGGTACGTACGTACGGTTTAGCTCTGCATATTTGATATATTTGATAGATTTGATAAAAAAGAGAAATTTGTTGTAGCTTACATTATCGTAATATTACAAATCACCTGCCTTACGATCTGAGTCACGAGATTGGAATTTTAAGCATCTAATCTAAATCAATAATATCCCTTTGAATTTAATCTCGACTAGTAATGTCTAAGCAAGGGAGCGGCACCTACTGGTTTATTTCAGGTATATTATGTTTTATTGAGCAGATCGCTTATGTTTCTTACGTACAAGGCATATCATATGTATATGGATAAAGCGTGTCCTGGGGAAAAGCATGCCCTAAGACGAAACTCGTCCAGGACAGGACATGTGATCTATGTACGAGTCATTTCTAAGAACGAAGCATGTCTAATATGCATAATTTTGATTCAGTTCCTGCTGAAGGAAACAAGGCGATTGTATTTCAGAATTTGAAAACAAAGCTATCAGGTTCACAAGCTGATTTAGCCGAAGTATATCAATTTCTAATTCCAGAATTTAGAGTGAGTTCACAAAAATATCTCAATAATTTACTACACAAATATTATATTTTTACTTATCTCCTTTGTTGATAGATAGGCACACTCGACGCGCTTGTCGTTATTTCTGATGAGCTTGTAAAATATGATCAGTTTGTTGAGAGCGTAGCTTGGAAAATAGTAGATATTCTTCGTATTCTACTGAAGGGTGACAAAGATAAAATATGTGCTAACCTATTGGTGAACGATAGTAAGTTAATTATATAATTAGTTTGGTTTATAATAATCCATTAGTTTTAACACTTCAATTTTAACTTAGAAAGTATTGATCAGTATTTGAACACATTTCAATGGGATATAATGAAATTTAGGGCCGAAAAATCTCTTAAAGAAATAGCAGAAATACTTAATGAGGTTTAGAATAAATTTTCATTTTAGTACATTCTAAATTCAGAAAGTAAACTAAACATATTATTTTCTCTCTGTGTCATACTAGGAAGTATCATCAATTGATACGCTGATGAAAGCGAAACTGGCAAATTATAATCAGGTGAAAGGCAACCTTCAAGCTTTGGAGAGAAAACAAACGTAATACTTTTTTATATTGTATTGCAATAAAAATAATCTTTAAATCAAAGTTTTGGTTAATTTAAATTTCTGATATACATTTATGTAGTGGGAACCTGTCCGTTCGTAACTTGGCGGATGTTGTTAAAAAAGAACATTTTGTTTTGGATTCAGAATATCTGGAAACTTTACTTGTTGCAGTTCCAAGGCATGTCATATCAATGATTTATTATTTGGTTTAATTTTTACAATATTTCATAATATCATTTTTATTATGCAGAAATTTTTATAAGTCATGGCACTCCAGATACGAAACACTAACTCAATATGTTGTACCACGCTCGTCTCAGTAAGTTTAATCAAAGTACTATAATATATATTTATTGTTGTATATAATGTTACCTAATAACGTTTATATAGGAAAATTGCTGAAGATGATGAGTATGGATTATTTAATGTGACGCTTTTTAAAAGAGTTTCTACCGACTTTGCTAATAGATGCCGAGAAGAAAAGTAAATCTTTTTTTTCATTTTAAATATAATTGCATAAACATACACATATTAAAATTGGTATATTATAGGTTTGTTTATCGCGATTTCAAATATAATGAAGACGAAATGGCTAATCAGCGTAAAGAATTTGAAGAAATGGGTGCTACAGAAAAGGAATTATGGGTAATTTTCAGATTCAAAATTATTTAAAGTGTGCGACATTAATTAATATCCCAGTAATCTATATAGTCTGCTTTATTGCGTTTGGCCAACACGAATTTTGGCGAAGTTTTTGCAGCTTGGATTCATTTCAAAGCAATGAGAGTGTATGTAGAATCCGTTCTTCGTTATGGATTACCTCCAGACTTCATGTCAGCGACTATAAAGGTATGTATTTGTTGCATCTGGAGTAGCTACCTATCTAAAGTAGTTACTTTAGATGTCTGAAGTGGCACCTGACTGAAATTAAGCCCTCGTATTAGGTCTTCATGCGTTAATTTTGGCCATGTGCTACTTTAGTCCAAAGTGGCTACTTCAGAAAGGGTAGCTACTCCAGATATAACACATTAACTTTAAATTACTATCATTCTATGTAATATTAATATTTTATGGATTTATTTAAGCCAAAGCCGAAGATGGATAAAAAAATAAGAGAAATATTAAATAATCAATACGGAAAATTTGGTGGTGCATTAAGTCGAGAAACACAAAAGGACGAAAACATTGAAGAATATCAAAATCTAATTGACAAGGATTATTATCCATATGTGTGGTTTCAGATCCAGTTCAATGTTAATAAGATTGCATCGTCATAAATGCCTTATTTATTTATTTAATCTCTATTTTTATTTTGAGTTATGTAGTGAGTAATACTACTATTAGTCAAATATTTTCATTTCTGATTTATCTTTGGCTTAATTTGTGTAACAGTATCATTTAAGAATTGATAGCTAACGTTGGTATCAAAAATGATAAATATGTTTATGCTACCATTACGTTTCAAATTGAAAAATATGCTTTTTATAATTACATTATTCAATTCTTTGACCGTTTAAAAATTTTATTTATTAATACACAAGATTAACTATTTAAAAATCGACTTTACAACCAGATTATTCAATTAAACGTATTTATTATTTATGAGCATATGTTGAAAGAGACATGGATCTTAGTTTCCTTATGATAATTTTTGACTTTTTTTGCCGGGGAATCTTTATTAATATAGTTAATTGGCGGTCATTCCTGACTGTTGTAATGTATTTCATATGTGTACGTAATAAATAATAATTACTTAATATTACTGAATTTTAAGTAAGGGATAAGTCATAGGTCATTATACAAATTACTTTGCCCATCATACCCCTCATAAAATGAGTATTCAGATTTCAAGCTTCAAAACCGAAATGCAGTATAGATATTGGGTATTCTCATAATGACTGACTTATTACGGGCCAACTTCCCGAAGAACATTTTCTGAGATACCATTTCACCGAAGTCGTAATACCGATAATCGATTTTATTAACAGGACAGAAATGAATCTGTCATTTCGCCGACAAGTTTTTTTTAAAAATTGCACTAACAGGACAGAAATAGATCTGTGTCATTTTACCGACAAGTTTTTTAAAAGATTGCACTAACCTAACTATAATCCTAACCTGACCATAACGACAATGACCGGAATTACTTTGTCAGTGAAATAAACTGTCGGTGAATTACAGTTGTTTTCATAAATTCAGGAACACCTAAAAAATTTGCAGATGATAATTTCGGCCGAATTCGATAAGTTATTGATTTCGGGCTATAAGAAATCAGTGCACGTGTGCACAGAACTTTGAGTACGGGAAATTGCACGTCCAAAGCATGCAACACTGCGTAGTTTTACGTGTTTTCCAGCATACTTCATTCAATAATTAGTTCCCATTGAATTACATGCATTTCTGTGTATAGATATTTTATAGGCGATGTTACACGCGTACATCACACATGTTATAAACACCGAAATCAATAACTTATCAAATTCAGCCGAAATTATCGGCAAATTTTTTAGGTGATCCTGAATTTATGAAAATAGCTATAAACTGTCGGTGAAAAAAGGACATCAAGATTATGGAATCGGAGAAATACCATTTCAGGAAGGCGACTTCGGGAAGTGAGCAACAACACCTTAAACTATAGACTCGAATGGACCGTAACATCCATATTAATAGTCGGAACTGAAATATAGGATGCAATTATAAGTGTGCACTTATAGAGCGCGCATAAAGATACTGCACAAACACCACTCATAAAAATAAAAAAGCAAACTTCTCAAAATTTCATTTATATACAAAATCTAGCTTTTAAATAAAAATTGGTTATTAAACATTCTGATTAAAATTTGCAGTAAAAAAACAATAAATATTAAAATGTACTTAACAAAAAGCTCTCTTTATGTTAAAGCATACGTTGAGTTGCTTAAATTATATTTATAAAATGCGAGTTTATAGCATCAAAAGTTGTAAGAAACTATATATTAACAATAAACCAATTTCTTTGTACTACATAAAAATTACCAATTGTAATATAGTTAATAGATTGATAATAGAATTTGATTTATATACTTAATATATCGCATACCAAACGTAAGCAGTGAATCGAGCCAACCACCTATGCATATCTATTCTCGCCTCAGATATAAATCAATAGCCGTGGAAAATGCGGCAAACCCTGCACACCCCATCAGAGCAGCCTGAGGCCCTGCTTTAGCAGCTAGGATTGCACCAGTTATGCATCCCGCAGCTGTGCCATTATATACATCATTTTTGGCACGATACTATTTCATCAAAAAGATTATTTAGAATTTGTCAATGAATTAAAATGAGGAAAAGGTAAAGTGCAATAAAAAGAGAAAAGATTTGATAAACTACTTTCACGAACATACCCCCTCTATAACACACTCAGTACCAGTAAATATTGCACCCACGATAGCAAAATTTTTAGCCGTAGAAAAAGATCGTTGGAACATATCTTTCGCAGTAGCTTTTAATTGTTGTTTCATTGGCTGTTCATATATCGATGGATCGGCTGCTCCCATTTCGAAGGAGGAAAAGAACATCCCGACCAGGCCTCCGAGCGCAAATCCTATTTTTGAGAACATGATTGATAGATAAAGTATCGGATAAGGAAATTGGTTTTTTTTTTTAGTTTACCTGCTACACCACTTAGAACAACTTTGAAAATGCATGAATCTTGAACCATTTGCATATAGGCTACTTCTTTAGGGACCGGCTCTTTATTTGGGAATGCCATATTATACGTGTTGAAGATTCAGAGATTCGAGAATGAATAAATTTATTGATTAGATGTGGATCATGTGTTTTAGAAGATCCGAACCTTATCTAATGTCCAATAAAATTTGAGGAACCGTCGATGTTACACGACTGATCTTTCACCCGGTGTGCAACGTATAAAAAAATTATTTTACAATACCAGATCATTCCACATGTTATGATTATAATCCAACACCATTTTAAATGGTAATCATAACATATACCAGTATACTAGCGGTATTGTAAAATAATTTTTTTGTATGTTGCACACCGGGTGAAAGATCAGTCGTGTAACATCGACAGTTCCTCCTGTTGTTTTATTTCTTCTTATCTTTTGCATACAAAATACAACACAGGTCATTCCGTTTACCATTAGTCCGAATTTTTTTAGAGTGTTAGTATTTTTGGTTATACTAGCAAATTACAGTATAAGTATTATTTTATTTTTATTTTATTTTTATTTTTATTTTTATTCTTTTTATTTTTCTATCTATTTTTTTTTTTTGGTAGTTGCACTAGTACATTATTAGGTTATTTAAATTACAAAATTGCAATTGCAATATGGATTCTCAAATACTTAAGTTTAGGGTGTGGTAACTTAGTGAAGTGGATAAGTTGTCATATTCTCAAGTAGTAGGTTGTGAGTTAAAACCCATCGATAGTAGAATTTAGATAATCACTTATATAATATATAGATGATATTATGGTAACAGTATTCTGTCAATCAGTTGGGATAGGATACCTGTAACTATGGTCATACTAGCATGATTGGCAGGTCTGAGGTATTTGTGTAACTTATTACACAGAGGAATGCAAACTGGTACCAGGCAGTGCAAATCTAAAATAAGTTCTTGAGTTATATAAATCCATAGAATTGGGAAACCAAAGCCTACTTGGAAATTCTGAGCAGAGGGGTAATACAGATCTTTGATGATATTACTATAAAGGTTAGACCTAGGAAATGGATACCAATGTAAAGGATTCGAGCAGGCAAAAACCTCAGATAAAGAATATTATCAATCAGATTATTGGATTTTGGATTGAAGAAAAAGAATATTGGACCAGTCTCAATATACCAAGGACAGGTCACAGTTCTTTTGGACTATCTGGATTAGGAGTCTGGATTTAAAGCAAGGGTATATTAAAAGTACTAAGGATATGTTATGAAGTCAGTACTAGGATCTGGGTGAACTCTACAAGGGTAGCATGTGTTAATGTTTTAAAAATGTGTAGATAGTTAACAACAGGAGGTCCTTTGCATCTTATTGTCAGGTGATGTACTCTGAAATGTGTAATGGCCTGAGAATTAATACAAAAAGGGTAGGTACCATACTGCTCAGACAATATACCGGTTAGATATATATGGGAGGTTAGTTGGAGATTTTAATATAACAGAACAAATGATTAGAGGATTTAAATAGATAATCTTCTAGTAGGTTATAGATACAGCATCTAATATAGAACCTTAGGACAGACTACTTAAATAGATAACCAAAAGTTGTATGCATGACTAGCTATACTCTCATCTTTATAAAAATAGTTGTAATAGTTAACCCAATATAAAGTCAATAAAGTATCACTACAAGTATGGCCTTAAAAAAAAATAAAAATAAAAAAAATAAAAAAAAAATAAAAAAAAATACTTAAGTTTAATATTATTTAGTTATTTAATGATATCTAAATGCAATTTGTTATATTTGTTCTATTAAAACTAGAATTACAATTTATTTAATTTTATTTTATAATAAAATGTTAATTTGAAAATTTTTTTTATAATGTAATATGGTTGCTTAACCTAACTAGATTCTAAATATTTGTTTAATAAATATGTCGTCACTAGTTAAATCAAGCAA